TATATAAGGATAATAATTAAGTATTCTGTTAGAACTCAATAATTATCCTAATTATATTTTAGATTTTTTTATATTTAAAATGAGATGTTTATCCTGTATTTGATTGTGTTTATCTGCAGTTAGTTACACGAATTCAGTTATGAGATGAAATCAGATAGGGATGAAATTATTTAAGGATAAACTGGTTTAAGAGTTTTTAAGAGTTTAAGAGTTTTTAAGAGTTTTAGCCAAATGCTTTATAATATAGTGTGTTTGGCACCCCTGCATTTGCAAACAGGAGATTTACTCACTAGACCCGTATGGTCTAACCCTCATTTTCTGTTTTAAATTATGCAATGCAGGAATAGCTGGGTYCGGGGATATTAAAGGGAAAGGGAAAATGTGATTATTTTCCTAATCTATTTCCTGCTTTTGAAGATACATGTTGTAATTCATGTAGTAGTACATGATTAGTTTTGGAATTTTTATATGTRGATYTYGTACATATAGYAATCCRTGTACTAGTGGGACCTTTTGATGTAATCCATGTTTCTATGTAATGAAATATGTGTTTTATGCAAAGTCACTTCGCTCGCSTTGGGAGGAAGGCTACTGACGGTAGCGAATCTCAGAATACGAATAAGTAATCCATGTTTCTATGTAATGAAATATGTGTTTTATGCAAATGTGGAGTATGGGGTGTTACAAGTTAGTTAAACGAATTCAAGTATGAAGCTTTAAAAAGTTGTACTTATGCATAATTTACTTGTAATATTAAATTTTAAGTAATATGCATCAATAAACAATATTTCGTGCATAAAAAAAATTGTTTTTAAGAGTTTTTGTCAAATGTTTATTATAATATAGTATAGATAGTATAGATTATGTGTTTAAAAAAAACAATAATGATTTTATTTTTGAATAAAATATAAATTTGAAGATATTATAAAAAATTTAAAAAATATATATCAATGTTAATGTCAAATCAATTATTTAAAAGTTTTCATTTTTTATTTAATTTCTTTAATTTATTTTTTTATTTTAATTTAATTTAAGTTTAATTTATTTTTGGTTTAATAATATAACATTTTATAAAGATAATAATTAAGTATTTTGTTAGAACTCAATGATTATCCTAATTATATTTTAGATTTTTTATATTTAAAATAAGATGTTTATCTTGTATTTGATTACGTTTATCTGCAATTAGTTACACGAATTCAGATATGGAGCTTTAATAAGTTGTACTTACGCACAATCTACTTGTAATCTTGAGTTTTAAGTAATATGCATTAATAAACAGTAYTTTAYGTATAAAAAGTAGTTTTTAAGACTTTTTGTCAAATGYTTTATAATATAGTATATATATTTTTTAATTTAATTTAAGTTTAATAATGAAATAATTTATTTTTGGTTTAATAATATAACATTDTATAARRATAATAATTAAGTATTTTRTTAGAACTCAATGATTATCCTAATTATATTTTAGATTTTTTATATTTAAAATGAGATGTTTATCCTGTATTTGATTGTGTTTATCTGCAGTTAGTTACACGAATTCAGTTATGAAATGAAATCAGATAGGGATGAAATTATTTAAGGATGAACTGGTTTAAGAGTTTTTAAGAGTTTTTAAGAGTTTTAGCCAAATGCTTTATAATATAATATAGATATAGATATATATATTTATAGAATTTTAAAAAATATATTTAATTTTTAATTCTTTATAAAAAAAAGCCAATTTCATCGAAGTCAATAATTATTTAGATAATCCCAATTCCCAAAGAATAGTAGAATAATATTTTGGTCCATATCCAACCAACACAATAAGCCTCATACCAATGCAAGATAAAGGTCTTTTGGTATATTCTTTTATTCAAAACTTTCATCCGTCCTTTTACTTTTAATTATATTATTATCCTTTTATTATTTATAGATATATATATATATATATATTTTTTAAATTGATCTAATTATTCATGTATTTATGCTTATATTTGTTTCATTTAATTTCTAAATTACTTAATATAAGTATTAATTTCACTCATTAATAATAGTTACCCTCAACTTTTTCACCCGTGCAATACGACGAGAGCCGTGAATTTTAATGATTTTGAAGTTTCACTGATTTTATTAGAGAAGATTTAACGATGATATAAGTTACACTTGCTTTTTACATATTCATACAATTTGAATAAATAAGAGTTATGGTTCTAATTACAGTCTATCAATGAAAAAAAATTGTATGATAGTTTAAAATCAAATATATTTAAAATCCAACATATTTAAACGACTTCAAAAATATGTTCGATTTACACGAAGATCAAAGAATCAAGAGATCGAGAGCGAGACCGAGAGTTCTAGAACAATTGAATGAGAGATGAATGAGATAACTTTTAATAACTCATTGTGAATATCACTTTGAATCTCACCTTGGGGAATGGGGAGAAGACATAGAGGTATGAGAAGGTGAAGGCATGAATGAAAGATATCAAAAGTATCTTGGGAACATAAAAAGAAAAAGTAATAATGTGCATTGGTAACTTGTACTATATGTTATTTTAATTGTATGTTAAGAGATTTTAATATTGAAGACATAAAGTAGTAGTACTTAATGCATTATAAGTTGTTTTTAAGACTTTGTGAATAAATGTATAGTATTTTATGCATTAAAAATTGTTTTTAAGACTTTTGATAAATCTGATTTATAAGGTAGTATAGATATAGATTATCTAATTTATGCAAGAATTAATCACTCTAAGTTCAATTTTACCTATTAAACCATAATTCTATTATCAAAGAGTTTAATAAGTTAAATTAAGAGATATAATTAAGAATAAAAAAATTAAAAATCACCTATAATATATATATATATATATATATATATTGTATTTACTAGAAAAAAAAATGCTAAAATACCTTTCCAATATATAGAACATGAAGACTTATGAAAAAGAAAATAAAACACTTCTCCAAATTTAAAAAAATCCTTCAAAATTGAATGTTAGATAAGAAAACTACATTTAATAATTTTCTTTAAATATTCCAAATTAATGTTTGCCGGTAGGGTCAATTAAAATAAAATCTATTTGAAAAGACAACAACCTAAATCTAAAACTATTGACAATCTAGTCATACAAGGGAAACCGGCAAGATCCATTCATTTTGTCTTATAAAAAAGAGTAAATTACATTTGTGATCCCTATAGTTTACACAATTTTTTAAAAGTAGTCCCTATACTTCAATAACTACGTTTATTGTCCTTACTGTTTACATTTTGATTTGAAAATCATCCCTAATCTTTAACTTCATTAAAAAATCAAGTTAAGTGAGGGGTACTTTCGCGTTTTTACGTTTACAGAGATAAGTTATACAAAAAAAAAAAAATTACAGGGACCAAATTGTAATTTACTCTTATTTATATTGATATTGATATTATATTTATATGTATATGTATATGTATATAGCATCTGAATACCAAGATGCCATTAGGTCGACCAAGACCCCATCTCCAACAACACCCTCTATTGGCGATCAACCACTGCACCACCCTTTGAGCGTCGTGAACCACCCCATCTCACCTCTCCCCTTCCATCTTCATCCCCCCCACATTGTGGTCTTCTCGGACAATACCCTCCACTCGCGATTATCACTGCATCACCCTTTGAGTGCCACGAACCACCCCATCCCACCTCTCCCATTCAATCTCCGTCCCAAACACATACACACACACACACACACTCACACTCACACTGTGGTCTTCTCCGACAACACCCTCCATCGATGATCAAACACTACACCACCCTTTGAGCGTTGTGAACCACCCCATCTCATTTTCTTTTTTCATTTATCACTGTTGTAAAACAGTAAAACCTTCAGAGAGGCTGGAGGTGGGAAGGGGTGGTGACGAAGACAAAGGTACATAGGGGTCGGCCACGGTTAAGGTGGTGGCTGGAGGTGGGGTCGGTCATCGTGAGGGTAAAGGTGGGGTTTGGAGGTTGGAGATGCTTACAGGTGGGTTGGTTGGTGGCCTGCGAGGGGAGTTTAGAGAAGGAGGATGGTTGGATGGGTATGGTGGGTTGACTAGTGTAAGAGGGAAAAAAAGACAAAACAAGAATAAGACAAAAACATACGTACAAAGATGAAAGTACCTCTCACTTAACTGAGTTTTTTGACGGAGTTAACGATCAAGAACAATTATCAAAACAAAATGTAAAGAGTAAGGACAATAATTGTAATTATTGAAACACAAGGACCACTTTTAGAGATTTGTGTAGACCACAAGGACCAAAATTGTAGTTTACTCTATAAATAAATAAAAATGCATCAAAACAAAAATAAATCTGTTGTTATTGGTAGTTGGACAATTTTAAACGACCTCGTTTGGTACCCCACTTTAAAAACACCATCTTAGATGAACATTTTTTTTTGTCTCACTCGGCAGCTGAGACTAGTGGAGAGTTTCGAGATCAAACTCGAAAGGCGTCTTTTATTTACAAAAAAACAAACCAAAACCTTAATTTTATAGAATAATGAATCAAAGTTCCTATTTTAGTGACCAAAAACCGAAATTTAACATAAATATGAATCAAAATAAAATTAGTTTCATTCTTTTAATAAAAAGTTTTGGTTAATTATGTAGTAAAACTAAAGTTGGTTTAATATCATTTATTTTGCCAAACATAGTGTCACATGGGTACAAATTCGTATTAGTTGCAACTTACAAAGTAGCATGCTTTTTGAACGTAAAAAACATTAGACATGGTAGGAGGTTTTGACTCTCTTTCTTTATATATATATATATATATATATATACTCGCCGGCACACATTTATTGAACATTAAAATAGAGACCACGTTAACGATGAACAAAAACTAGAGAAATCTGTACTTAATTAACCCAACGCACACCAGCATCATCTACACCAATTATTGATTCCCCATATCAACTCCATCCCAAATTTACGAATATTTCACCCCTTCCCAATATAATATATGCTATACATTGTGTTCAAAATCTGATCTTCAGTTCACAAAACTCAATGGAGTCTAAATACAGCCGCCGGCTTCAAACAATTCAAAACCATGTTACCGCCGATCCTCAGTCAATGCCGGTGCTGCAACTCAACCAGACAGCTGGGGAGTTTTTTGCTGGTAAGATATACATATTCATTAAGTTGGTTTTTCAGGATTAAATGTGGGTCTTTTGTTAGGATGCCTTTTTGGATTAGGTTTGCAATTTGCTTCCAATAATCTGAGTTGTGGGTTTGAGAAGTTTTTATGGCAGATTAAGTCTAAGATTCCTAGAGAAAATGCATGTTATGCACTTCACTTTTGATAGAATCAGAAAAGAATTAGTTTAAATGGAAAAAAAATTGGCAAGCAAGATATGACAATTTGATACCTTTTACAAATGGGGTTAATTTGAGGGACTATAAGTTTACAGGATATCTATTTGATTTGATTTCGTTAGAGCAATGTACACCTTTCTTGTGTTCTTTGTTTTAAGAGAAGAATATATGATACTTAAAAAGGCAAACATCTCATCTTCTTCATGTTTGTTTGAATTGAATATTGAGTTACAAATTCTTTATGCATATATATACAATATCATATACTTATGCTTTGGCAGAACAAGGGTACAGTGTTGTTCTTCCAGAGAAGTTGCAGACAGGGAAATGGAATGTTCACAGGTAGTACTACTTGATCCATTTTCTTGTTTTTGTTCAAGCTTTGAAAACTTCTTTTCTTGATTTTTGTAAGTTGTACTTTTGGCAAAAGTCGGGTCCTTCACCGAAACAACTTTTTTACCCCTTGGGGTAGAGGAAAGGCTGCGTATATCTTACCCTCCCCGGACCCCACTTCGTGTGGGATTCACTTTGTTCATTTGGTCTGGTTTGGTTTGGTTTACTAGCTTAGTTCATCATTGAAGATTATATTGCCCGATTACATCATATCACATCTATCTTTTGGTGACAGATCTACTATCTCCCCTTTGAAGCTTCTCAGTAGATTCCCTGATCATCCTGACATTGGTACCTTGCATGATAATTTTGTGTGAGCATCTGTGATATCTATTTCTGCACTGTTCACATATATTGTTAGTGTGAGATATGTGAAACTCCATTAGATGTCTCTCTAAAAGAGCCTTATATAGAGAGAGGGGTTTCCTACATAAATATTCAAGTTTGATGGTATGCGTCTAGCTGATTTGGGACTCCAACACAGCCCCTCAAATGAAGGTGAAAGAGTGTTTCGAGTCCCTACATGGTGCTAGTATCCCAGCTCTGATACCATGTTAAAATATGTAGTATGCAGGTCTTTGAAAAAGCATCACTAATTTGCTTCCACTAAAATTTTAATATAGGTATGCATCAGAAACCTTCCGAGATTACAAGTATTTGGGTACACGGATTCGTGCAGATGGAACTGTTGGAGAGTATGTCAAATAGTTGTCTTATCTCTGAGCCTATGTCTGAATACTTCCTAATCTCTCTGCATTCATTTACAGATACAAGTGGACAACTTACGGGGAAGCAGCTACCGCTCGGTCAGCTATTGGTTCTGGATTAGTGGCCCATGGAATTCCAAAGGCATGTCACTTTTATAGTAATTTATCTGTTCACATTATGTGTTCTTTTATACTATATCCTAGTTGGTTTAGCATATGTGTCTTTCTAGTTTATTCTTTTCTAGCTTTTCAAATTTTAACATATCTGTTTTTCTCCCTTTCACACACTGTTTAAAAAAGGAACGGCCCCTCTACTCCTTATGGTAGAGATTATGGTGCATCTTCCCCCCCACCCACCTCATGATGGGCTATACCAGGCTTGTTTGGTTTGGTTTGATTATGTCCTAGTTGGTCTATACCTTTCTCTATTGTATCTTATATAAGTTTTTGATTGGTTGATATTGCAACAGGGATCATCCATTGGACTATATTTTATCAACCGACCCGAGTGGATAATTGTTGATCATGCTTGCTCTGCATATTCATACATATCCGTCCCTTTATATGATACCCTTGGTTTGTTGCCCATTATTTTGTCAAGATTTTGGTATGTCTTTCTGTATGTTGCAGATGTGTTAAAACATGCCTAATCTTGCAGGCCCGGATGCTGTCAAGTATATTGTGAATCACTCTTCTGCACAAGCCATATTTTGTGTGCCAGAGACGTTGCATGTAGTAAGTTAAATGCTTTCTTTGTTAGTGGCTCGAGTTTGATGGATCTTATTTTTGTCTCAACTCAATTCCACTCATAAGAATTCTTCTTCTTAAGTCATATCACTTTGACATTTCAGTTAATGAGCTTCTTGTCCGAGATTCCCTCTGTGCGTTTGATAGTGGTATAATGGTTAATCATTCCTTTCCTTTCCTTTCTTATCGATCAAACTAAGAAGCTTAGTTGATTCTTAAAACTTGAAGCACTCATAACTATTGGTATCATAGGTGGTTGGAGGCTTGGATGAACTAATGCCATCACTTCCATCAACAACAGGGGTTAAGGTTGTATCATTCTCGAAATTAATTACTCAGGTAAACTTCAACAACGTTTAGTGAATAATACTTTTGCTGTGTTGAAGTTAGAATCTTGTGAAATTTGAATTCCCCATGGGCTATTTTGTTATGTGACCTTCTATGGAAGTCACTTATACCATTCTAGTCTTTTTTTAAGATTTTACACCAGAAACAGGTCATTTGCAAGTTATTGAGCTAAAAACAATAATTTAAATGGTCATTCTCCTAATTCAAAACTTATTTAACTAAATGACCCATTTACCCACTAACAGTTTTAATCTTGTTTTCAAGTTCATTTTCTAAACAAGAACTTGTCGGCTGACTAACCTACGAATAATTATTTATCTTGGCATTGCGTAGTTATTCTAAGAAAAAGATAGATGCTTATCCCAACAATAATAACAGTAATTATCCTAAAATATAATGATTTATCCGTCAACTGGATTTGTGCTTTTTCAGGGAAGTAATGACCGTCATCCTTTTCGTCCACCAAAACCGGATGATGTTGCTACAATATGCTATACAAGTGGTACAACCGGGACACCAAAGGTTTCTATTTCTTATCCATTTTATGCTATTTCTTTCAAGTCTGCTGAAGTACAACTTCTTCTGTTGTTACTGTAAGTGGGTCTTTTTTCGTTTTCCTACATGGTAAGGGGGTTGTACTTTCCCATGGAAACATGATTGCAAATACTGCTGGCGGAACTACTGGAATCAAATTTTATCCATCGGATGTGTAAGTATTAGTGGTCTCATATTGGAAATACTATTTTGTTGTATTGAATTCATTTGTGAACTGATACTGCTCATACTTACTCCACAGTTATATATCTTATCTTCCTTTGGCCCACATATATGAACGGTCCAACGTGCTCCTTTTGGCATACTATGGCGGCTCAGCTGGATTTTATCAGGGAGTATGAAACTCAAATTTATCTTCTCTTCTTTCCATGATAAATTCTATTCTATTAAAATTCTGGCTTAATGGATGTCCTCTTAGCCTTACACTATATTCATTCATGTAGGACAACTTGAAACTATTGGATGACATGGCTGAGTTAAAACCTACCGTGTTCTGCAGTGTTCCACGATTATATAACAGAGTATATGATGGGTAGGGTGCTTTATTCTACAATCAATCAATATATGGCTTATTGAATGCTTAATCAGGTGTTGGTTATTGCAGCATTATAAATGCAGTTAAGACAACTGGTGGTTTGAGGGAAAGGGTGTTTAATGTTGCATATAATGCGAAGAAGCAAGCATTACTTACAGGTAACATATGATTTTCTCTATTGCATATATAAAGCACGTGACGTTACAACTGATAGATGGTTCTTCGAGGATTTTGCAAGTCTACTATAACCACTGATCAATGAGAAGTTTTATCCTCTAGTTCATCTTACTGCTGCTGCATACCTGTTGAGATTTTGTAGCTTCTCTGAAATTCGTAGCTTTTGAATAAAAAAAAAAGTTGGCTTATTACATAATCTTTTAATATGTCAATGATTTTAGTCGTTGAATTTTGTAATTATCTTTCAGGAAAGAATGCTTCTCCTATGTGGGACAGATTAGTATTTAACAAAATAAAAGACAAGCTTGGTGGACGGGTTCGTTTTATGTTTTCTGGTGCCTCACCATTGTCTCCTGATGTCATGGATTTTCTTAGAGTGTAAGTAGTAGTTAAAAAAGTTAACGGTAGTTGTGGTTAGCTAGCTGTTGTTTTTATGGGTAATTAACAATGTTTCAGGTGCTTTGGTTGTCCTGTAATCGAGGGCTATGGAATGACCGAGAGTTCTTGTGCCATAACTTATATGCACGAGAAAGATATCGTCTCGGGTCACGTAGGCGCTCCTAATCCTGCCTGTGGTCAGTTTTTTATATAAAATAAATATTACACTAGAAACGTACTTTGCTCTCTTGTTTGAATTATGAAATGAAATGATAAATAGTTGCGTTTTTCAGAAGTAAAGCTTGTGGATGTTCCTGAAATGAACTATACGTCCGATGATCAACCATACCCTCGTGGTGAGATTTGTGTGAGGGGACCGATTGTGTTCCAAGGCTACTACAAAGATGAAGTGCAAACGTATAGTATAAGCCTTTTCTTCTGCCTCTTGATTGTGTGTGTGTATATATATATATATATATATAGAGGGAGATTCAGGGGAAAAACTGAGGAACTCTGTGATAACCGTTCATCTGGACAGTATGCACATGTCATATTGGTAATTGAAGCTGTTTCTTGACAAATTGCTTAAAATTACCTGTATGCACATATGCATACTGTCCAAGTGAACAGTAAACCAGGGTGTTCCTTAGTTTTTCATCTTTTTATGGTTTTCACCTGAACCTAACCTTATGTGTGTATATATATATATATGTGTGTGTGTGTGTGTGTGCCCGAGTTTTGAGTTATTTATTTTTAATTTACATCTAAGCAACTTTTTCAGGAGAGAAGTAATCGATGAAGAAGGATGGCTTCATACCGGAGACATTGGGTTGTGGTCATCTGGTGGCCGCTTAAAGATAATTGATAGGTAAGATTTAGGAACATAACATAAGTATTAAGTTCTTAAAACTGGAGGGTAATCTTATATATCTTTTGTGTGTGGTGTCAGGAAAAAGAATATTTTCAAATTGGCGCAAGGGGAGTACATAGCTCCTGAGAAAATTGAGAATGTATATGCCAAGTCCAAATTTGTCGCACAGTGCTTTGTTTATGGTACGGACAAGTTTTCATTACTGACTTGTTCTCGATTCGGAACTCTCTTTGTTAATTAATGGTTCCTTTTTTGTTGCAAATAGGTGACAGCTTCAACTCTTGTTTAGTTGCTATTGTCTGTGTCGACCCTGATATGCTCAAAGCTTCTGCTGCTAAGGAAGGAATAAAGGTGACACGCTTCCGTTAATACATATCCTGATATTTAGTTATTGTTTTCATCACGATGGACGTTGCTAAAATTAGAAATTTATGTTTCAATCAGATACAGAATCGACACTGATCCATAATAGTATTGGAACTACTTGTTCAAATTTTTACCATTTTCTTTACTAGCCGAATTTCATTGTCAACATGTCGAATTTGAATCAACTGTTATTCTATAACTTGTGATGTAGTTTGAAAGTTTAGAACAATTGTGCAATGACCCAAGGGCAAGGACGGCTGTCCTGGCTGACATGGATGCCATTGGAAAAGAAGCTCAGGTAACGCCCTTTCTTTCGTATTTCTTTCTGGGATTGTTTGAAATTTTCTTTTAGATTCTAGCAATTGTTACTTGAAGAGATTGAGGAATCGGGTTCCCCTTTTTTTCTTCATGATATCATAAAGTTTACGCCCGTAAGGGTTCCAAAAGCTTCTAGCCCTCATTGGCAATACGGGTCTTTTCTTTGCTGATTTTTGAGATCCTAAAAGAAACCCATACAGTTTTCATATTCCCTCTGTCCCAAAATAAATGTCCACAATGGAAACTGCATACAATTTTAGAAATGTGTGATTATTGTAGTTTCAGTGTGAATTAAATGACAATTTACCGTATTCCACTCTGTATTCATAAGAACTTTTTCTTGAATTTAACTAGAGGGTAACGTAAATGAACCATAACTATGTAGCCCTATTCCTAATAGATTGACCCCAAAATAGCATATCCAAGTTATAAGAAAGCCTAGAGTCGTCACAATTGTGGAATACCCTTAATAAGAGAGGGGCAATGAATTTTTCTATCTCGTTACTAAGAGTAGAACTGGAAAGTAGGCAATTGCTTTTGAAAGTTGACACTTATTAGGGAGAAACAAAAATAAAAATGTGGGCACTTAGTAAAGAGAGGAACAAGGAGGCATGTGAAGTTGGTTAAATAAAACGGGATAAAATCAACCCGAACTAAACAAGCCCATTATATCCACCTCTAGGTGGGGTTGGGGGGTATGATGTATGCAAACCTAATATTTATCTCAAAGAGTAGAGCGACTGTTTTTGTGAAGTCGATATGTGCGTGTTAACAAGTAGATGGTGTTTCTGTAAGTTATTCTTTGTTTATGAATAATTCGTCATCCATGCTTGATTTCATAAACAATGTTATCGCCATGCAGCTGAGAGGTTTCGAGTTTGCACGATCCATCACTTTGGTAGCTGAGCCATTCACCATGGAGAATGGTTTGCTCACTCCAACATTTAAGGTAACTTTAGTCTGAAAATTAGCCACCAATGAAACTCGACTGGACCGAAAGCTTGATTGATGTGTGTGTGTGTGTGTGTGTTTTTCTCAAAGTGAAGTTGAAGATAATTTGCATTAATTGTTGGGTTGCAGGTTAAGAGGCCACAAGCAAAAGCATACTTTGCAAAGGCAATAGCTGATATGTATGAAGAGGTGTCATCATCTAAGCTTTCAGGGGAAAGAATTATGTGAAGTGAAAAAAGAGGCATGGCATTGCATTGCATTGTTGTAAGGGTTGTTCCACATTCATTTTGTATTAGAATCATATGTGGTTCATTCAAATTATTGAAAAATGTATTCCAAATGGATATTTTATGTCAATCACAAATAGAAAGGTTATGTGGCTAAACTTAAATTTATGATCGCCACTTAATGCGCAGTAGAAAACAATATCAACGCTTCATTGTCTGCTTTTAGCGTTTAGTGTTTTGCCTTGATCTGGAAGGGTCTCCCCCTTCCCTATCAAAAAAACAATATCAACACAAGATAATAAGTTAAGTTGCTTTCAAATATTGGAATGCTTGTTTGTATCAAAAGAAGAAGGTTGTTATCACTACAAAATAAAGGGGCTTCACCGACTGAAAAATCTGTCCGGAAAAGCCATCACCTACGAATGTCAGGACCGGAGAAAATGTGCCAACTGATTGTGCTTACCGGTGGATTGTATGAAGGTATGAATTTTTATATATCATAAAGAGGTTTACAAGGATATATACAAGACGTTTTACAACAGAAGGTGTACAAATTAAAGAGAAATACAAGGAATACATTTAGGACATAAATAAAAGATATTGATTCCTATAGTTATGCGTAGTCAACATATATCCTTGATACGCCCCCGCAAGATGGAGGATCCGTCGGAGACTCCAATCTTGGATTGGAATTTCAAAAATGATACTCGACCCAACGTTTTGGTGAGAACATCAGCAGGTTGGTCGAGTGTATTGATGTGTCGAACCTTTAGAATACCAGCTGAAACTTGCTCCCGAACAAAATGATAGTCCAAGGCGACATGCTTCATACGCGAATGATAAACTGGATTAGCGCAGAGATAGGTAGCACCCGTGTTATCACAATTGATGGTGCGTGTGGGTATTAGACGCCTCTAATTATGCCCGTATTTATAGTATTGTAATTAGTGTTTATTGTATCAATTATCTCCAAAAATAGGAGATCTCTTTGTATAATTATATATTGATTATTGTGAATGAGAGAAGCAAGGGGATTATCATAATTCTACATGGTATCAGAGCTAAAGATCCTCCTACCTATCTCTCCCATTTTTTTTCGAAAACCTCATGCCACCTCGAAACCCTTGCCGCCGCCTCTTCTTCTTTGTCAGCCACCACCTTCGAACCTTCCTTTCAATGGCCGATCACAAGTTTCACCCTGTTGTCGCAGTTTCCAACATCCGAACCTTCGTCCCTATCACCTTAGACAATGAAGCCGCCGATTATAACACATGGTCGGAACTATTTCGAATCCATTGTACGGCGTTTCTTGTGGCTGACCACCTTGAGCCTCGTCGTCCCTCACCCACTGCTGCCTCGCCCACCGATAAGGAAAAGCAATCGGCTTCCCCTCCTGCCGACTCGTGGGAACGTCTTGATGCCATAGTTCTCCAATGGATATATGGCACAATCTCCACCGGCCTTCTAAAAACAGTAATACAAAAGAGCACCACCGCAT